AACCTGTAACTTTCACTTAAAATCTAATAATAGATCAGAATCTAAGGGCACTTACCACACACACACACACACACACACACACACACACACACACCATATTTGGGAAGAGTGTCATAGGAGCAAACACCTTGTAATAACTTTAGGCCATTATTTTCTGCAATGGAGAAATATTACTTAAGCAAAACTTCCACTATTGACACCATCTCAAATCTTCTATCTAGTAGAAAAGATTAATGGAATTCAAAAATTAAAATTAGTCAAACTTTCAGATACATAAAACTTTTCCTATTCAGTCTTTCCCCTTAGGAAATAAAATACTTAAACATAATATTACATGCCCCTTTGAATTTTTTGTGGTGGGCAAATAATTCAGGAGGAAATTCACAAATCAATGGATGAGGAAGTTCTCTAAAAATGCTAGCTCATATCAGCTCATAGAATAGTTATAATAAATACCCTACAACAGATTTACACCTTTGAGGTAGCACATGATAATCTTGATTAAATGACTACTAGAAGATTAATATATAGGTGGCTAGGCTGAATACAGACCTAAGGACTTTTGGAATGTCCTGTCAATTCTTCTCGTTAATGAGCTATTCCCTTGGCTATATCAATGATTTTAGAAGTATGTTAATCTAGTAAATCAGCATAGAGTTATTGGTTGACCAAACAGCATGAGGTCAAATTGCCTTTATTCCAGAAAAAAAAAGGCAAGAAGCCCCTATCCCATCTCAGTTGTTCTCCCTCTTCCATGAATTTCTACTGAAAATATAAAATCTTTCTTTCTCCAAAGAACAAGTATCTTTTGACTGCAAATTTCCAAATTTGAGGGCAGTGCATTATATTTCTATACCTATGGCATCTGTGCATAATTTATTTTAAAAATTATGTGGATTAACTAATTGAGAGTAAACAACCAGTTATCATTGTTAAGTAGACAAACCAAAATGCTAAATCAGCCATTTTTCCCTCTGTAAAATATATTATATTGACTACTTTATAAAAATGCTAAGCAATTTTTAATTTCTTTAGTGGGACTGGCTTTCAGTACTTGTCTCTAAGTCTAATTTACAAGGATGTAGACAGTATTAAAGGAAACAAAAAATGAATGATAAGTATCCTGGATCTAAACAATCATAAATTAGTACTATGCCCAGTCTGAGGGCCCATTGAAGGGAGCATTAACAGTAGCCAAAGAGCTCTGCCAGTAGATAAAGGCCACCCAGGAGAGCTGAGGGCTTTGGTTTAGGGATTCAGAAAAGAGGAAGATGAAGAAATCCACACCCTAAGTCCACTTGTTTTCAATCATCCAAATTCCTGCCATAGCCTCTATTAGCTTCTCCCAAGCAAAAGCCCAAGGGCAAAAATAACCCATTGATCCAGCCCCAAATGTTCACTTTTACAGAGCAGAGTGAACATGATGAAAATTAGTTATGGGAGGGCAAGTAGGAACTGACTCTCACAAGAGTTTGTATAACCATCCCCATTACTATACAATTAGGTTTCTGTCACTTTTTGCTTTGTAAGGTAACAACCAGCAAATATTTTTAGATGTCTTTTTCTCCACATATGCAAGTACTTCCAAAGCATATATCACAAGTGGAGTTTCTAGAAAACACTTCTAAGGTATACTGCTAAGTAGTCCTATATGAAAGTTAGTCACCAGGATGAACATTTTCACATATAGGAAAAGAACAAGCTACATTACCTGGTGGACACAACTTATTGATTCCTTCCTTTCTGCTTGGTTGGTAGACTCATGACAACTGAAGATTGTAACTACCAGATCCAAGGCTTCTGGGTGTCATCATTGTGGGATTTTATTTCTTATGAAACCAGGAGTATTTCATCAACACCTTAGCCAACAAACTACACACTGCCACACTGGACCTTGTTTTCAGGTTGCAGGAATGCAATTTCTCACTTTGTCATACAGCGGGAAAACTTTCCAACCCAGCTTTTATAAATAATATAGCATATATTACCCAACATAATGACTTTCACTCTAGAGAACTGATTTGATTTGAATTTCCCTGGTTAATAGTAAATTTGAGCATTATTCATTCTGACGGCCACTCTAATATTTCTTAAATGTCTTAAAATATAGGCTGTTTATATATCATATGTTAAATACTGTTCTTATATCAACTAGGATTCCACCAAGGGAAAGAACTGCATAAGAAGATGAAATAAATGAGGAAATATAATTTATAAGGATATAAAATATTTTTCTAAATAAGAGATCCTGACTCTAGTTTTTTTTTTTTTTTCTTTCTTTGGGCTTGTCTCTTAAAAGCTCTGAAGTGGTCACAGTTCACTAGGCCATCTATAAAACATTATCACTATCAGAATCAAGAAATTGGTGAAATCAAGAGCCCTTGAATTGCACTTTCAGGAGGATTCATTCAGTCTTAGAAACAGATTCCATCACAGTGGAAGTGTTTGGAACTGGCTTACAATCTTGCTCTTCCCTCACCAGTGAGATTAATAAACGACACAGGACCACTTTATAGGAACTTGTCTTTAATTCTTTAAAAAGTATCCTCTGGCCCCTCTGAAACTCCCATTGTGATATCCAAGTGAGCACAGGTTCTGGAGCCAGTTAATCTGCTTCCCAAATAACGAATCTCCTAGTTAAACCCAGTCTCCTCCAGATTCCTATAGAGATTGTCAAGCAGCAATCTGACCTCTGCTTTGTTTTCTGATATGACGATTTTTATTTATTTTTCTGGATTTGGGGCAAATTTGGTTCTGGTTCTGATTCAACATGTCTTATAAGTAATGATTTCCTCACTGGTGACAGTAAGAATTACAAATTTGATTTCAAGACCTGATCATTCAGTTGTAATCTCTATTGGGATAGTGGGGACATAGTATGTATCAGATGAAAGATAATAGACAATTGGTTTAGTTTGCTTTTTTTAATCTATTGGTCTGTTTGTGCAAAAATTTTTCTTCATTCCATGGGAAATAGAACAGTTCTTACAGATCTGGTATGAGATTGCATATGAAAATATTTCACACTTAATATACGAGAGAGAGAGAGAGAGAGAGAGAGAGAGAGAGAGAGAGAGAGAACATGATTTTACCTGTAATTGTACAGAGTCTCTGTATCTTCAGATCATATTAATAAAATATACTCATTTTTTCTGCTTTTAACCCATTATGTTCCATCATCCTACATATAGGACATCTATAAAAAAATTTTATGACACCTATAAAAATATCTAAGTTTTTATAGGTGTTCTATATGAGGGATGATGGGACATAATAGATTAAAAATAGCACTTACTGCCTTTAACATTTGGGTAGGATATTTGCAGAAATAGGAGGTTATATTTTGAGTGTTCATGAAATTTTCTGGCCTACTAAAATAACTGTATGTTAGTGATTCTCAATTTTCCTCCTTTGAGGGACAAAAGACTATTTCCCTGACCAAAATTAGTCAGACCCCTCTGAGCCCTCTTCTCAACTTAGGCCTCTACCTTGGCCTCTTTCCTGATGCATATGTATCCCCAGTTTTAGCAAAAATCATGCTAAGAAATACAGAGAATACCACAACCTTGATATATTCTCTTAATAATAACCTGCTGCTTAGCTATAAAATTCTCCACTTATTCTTTTTTTTAATTTTTAAAAATATTTTTTAGTTGTTGATGGACTTTTATTTTATTTATTTATATGTGGTGCTGAGAATCAAACCCAGTGTGTCATGCATGCTAGGCAAGCAAATTACCACTGAGCCACATCCCCAGCCACCTCCACGTATTCTTACTGTATGGAGAATTCAACCCAGTGCAATGCTGAGAGGTCTCTATTCCCCTATTGCAATAGTTCCTGTATAATGTTTTTACCATATTAACTGTAGTCAGGCTGCAGGGCATTTGTTGTTGTTATAATTGTTATTTTGTTTTGTTTTGTTACTGAGAATGGAACCCAGGGATGCTCAGCCACTAAACCACGTCCCTAGCCATTTTTATATACTTTATTTAGAGTCAACATCTCACTAAACTGCTTAGAGCTTCACTATGTTGCCAAAGATGACTTTGAAATCATGGTCCTCCTGCCTTAGCCTCCCAAGCCACTGGGATTACAGGTCTGCACTATCACACCTGGCAGACTGCAGGATTTTTTTAAAGTATTCTTTATGAAACGAAGTGAGTCATTTTGGTCTTAAAGTCATAATTAAAAGGAGTAACTGAGATGAGAAAAAATAGTGGACAACATACAAATGGCTTTGCTTTTCAAGAGGAAAAAAAAGGGTAAATTCTAAGATAAAATGACTTTTTTTTCCAAATACAGGCCTCAAACTTGGCCCACTTCACTGATGGATATCCATAGCCCAGTTTTAGTGAAACACAAAACCTAATGAATATAGAAAGTAGGAAGTAAATTCTACTTTGCTTTGTTGTATAGGTATAATTTCAATTAATGAAACTAAAGAGAAGCAGTGATACATGTTAAATTTTGTGCAAAGTTTGCAGAGTGTGACTTTGTGAATTTACTAAAATAGAAAACAAAAAACACTTAAAAATGCTGTTATATCAAAGCAAGACTAGAGTTCAGTTTTCTCTAAGTCACTTCTACTATGTTAATTAAATACATTTTCACTCTGTAGTTATATTACAACCATTTTAGTTCCCTGATAGCTTCACTACCTATACTACTACTTTGGGTTGATTGGTGTCCACTAAATAGATACTTCACAGTTTTATGAAAGTGAGATTATTTGCAAATGGGATCTTTGCAAATGTAGTCAATTTAAGATGAGGCCATACTGGATTATAAAGGAGAAACTTCTTCCTCTTCTGAAGGCCTTGAACTGGAGTGGCCTGTTTCTAATAATTACTTCATATAATATCATCCCTTTGAAATTGAATTTCAAAAATCATTATAATCTTTGGTTTCTAAATACTTTAATTCCTCCTATTCTTTCAGAAGTGAATGACCGTCCTTCTTTAGTGAAAGAAAAAATGGACCTAATAGAATATGGATTATCAAATCATGGTAGGACAAAGAGAAGCTTTCATCTGAGTTTTGCCATCACAGTGAACTTTTGCACCATGAGTACTCTTACACCACCAATCACTTAAAAAAATCTTCCTGTAACTCACTAGCTGTCTGCATACTTTCCTCATTGCCACCTTCATTTCTTGATTCCTTAGTGTGTAGATGACAGGATTCATAAAAGGAGTCAGAACTGCATCAAAGAAGGCCAGGAAATTATCCAGGTGTGTGGAGAAAGATGGCTGGGCATAGATTAATATTAAAGGACTAAAGAACAAGATTACCACAGTGATGTGAGCTGAAAGTGTCAACAGAGCCTTGAGGGACCCAGCAGAAGAGTGTTTCTGAACAGTGAGAATGATGAAAACATAGGAAATGATCAGTGTGAAGAAGGAGCCCACAGAGATGAAACCACTCTTGGCTGTGACCATGAGTTCCAGTTGATAGGTGTCTGTGCAGGCAAGTCTGATGAACCAAGGTAGGTCACAGTAAAAGCTGTTCAACATGTTAGGGCCACAGAAGGGCAACTTTATTACAAAGGTCAATTGAACCACTGAGTGAATAAGGCCAACCACCCAGGCAGTATACATTTAGTAAATATTTATTTCTTTTTATTTTACTTGTCCAAAACAGCATGTAGTTAAAGAGAAAATGAATAAATAAGAACATAATATGCTGTTGGCTAGCAGAAAATATCAAATTTCCATATCATAAAAGATATTTCAAAAAAGAACTATGATTCATATAAAATTCACCTTATTTTATTGAAAAATTATGAATTAAACTGATTTGCTTTCAAAATACACTGTAATTCTTAGTAATGCATTGCACAAATGTAATTCATTATTTGTATAATTCCTCATCCCCAACTAGGTTACAGACATGACATTAGAGATCACATCTATATTATTCAATCCAATGTATCAAAAATTTAGAATCACTCCAGATATATAATAGGGATAAATGAATATATGCTGAATAAAATCCATTTGTTAGTAGAGGGGTAGAGATGGATCACATGAGGAAAGAAGGAAAGGTGGAATTAAAAATTTTAAAACTATCCTGCCAAAAGACAGAATAGAACTAAAAGGAAATCTTCAACCTAGTCTAGGAGACTTGAATAATAAGGTCACCTTTGGACCTACTGATAAATTGAAGATAAATAATTTAGGAAACTTTCTAATCATCACAGATCAGGAAATTCATTCCCAAACGTGTTAAATAACTTGACCAAAATCAGAACTTTACTTGGTGACAGAGCTTAGACTACAACCAAAGTCTGTTGACTTCAAGACCAGTGCTCTCTCTAATTCCCTGCCCTCTTATTTATCTGTGACTTCATGCAGAGATAACCTGAACAAAAGTATGTGGCATGGTGATGATAGAAACTGTTGGGGAAAGAAGAGCCCCTTTCAGAGCTTTCACTGTTACTTTTTGACTTATGAGTACTTCCTTAGCCACCACAATCATCCCACCCAACTATCAGCTTTTTAATGTACCTCAGTGTCTTCAGAAAATTAACAGTTCACCAAAGCAATTATTATTATTCTAATAATTAACAATTATTATTATTTTAATAATTAACAATTATTATTACTCTAATTGTTTGAGAAAATACTGTTATTTGAAATAGATAGGTTTCTGGATGGACTCATAACAAAAAATTGTGGTTTAATACTCAACCTTCTACTGATCCCGTGAAAAGGTTTCAGCATGCTGTAGACGCCTCCATAATGTTGACTGTGTTCAAATTCTTCCTTCTTCAAGTAATCATTCTTGGCTACTTCAAGCTGAGTTTGAAGTTTTCTGTGTCTAAAGTTTCATCTTAACTCCACAAGTGAATTACGGGACTATTTCATCAAATGTCTTTCTTTCTGATCTCCACAGTGCTTTGAAAAGTACTAGACAGTGTACAACCAGAGAGGTGAAAAAGTGTGCTCTATGTGTGTAATATGAATTGAAATGTATTCTGCTGTCATATGTAACAAATTAAAAATTATAAAAAAGTACTACACATATGATGTTCCCCAGTAAACAGCTTAAGTGCCCTGAGTCAAAGTACATTAAGGTTGATCATCAATCTCAATGTGGGTACAAAGAGTCTAGATTCCATCTCAGTTTTCATATTAAAGATGGACTCTGTGTGATTGTATCTTCCTTTGAATTAATCTCTATTTTAGCTCTTAAAATGAATAGCAATTTTTTTTGGTTCTGGGGATTGAACCCAGAACCACTTAGTCATTGACCCAGCCCTTTTTCTTTTTTGACTTAGAGACAGGGAATTGCTGAGTTGCTTAGGGCTTCATTAAGTCACTGAGGCTGGCTTTGAACTCATGATCCTCCTACTTCAGTCTCCCAAGCCACTGGGATTACAGTGTACACCACGACACCTGACTCCAGTTTTCTAAAGAAGCTGTACATGATAATTAATTATAGGTTTCATTCTCTGAAAAATAATGTTTCGCAGTCTGCCACTCAATAACCTAGCAACTATGAATAACACATTTTATTAGCCCTTTTTCCACATATAAATAAAGTTATATATGACCCTACATCTAGTCATTTCTTCCTCTGAAAAATGTCTAATATTAAAAATAATATATATGTCCACAAGAAAATAATATATAAAATTTTTTTCATATTAATGCAGTGGAATGAATTATTTAGAAAATAACCTGAATGGACCAGATTTATAATTGTTACCATGGAGAAAACTTGAAAAATTTGTGTTATTGTGAGTATATATTAAGTATAATCTATATACAGTAAAAATACAAAAGTTTGAACAGAAAGAATGTCCAACAACGTTGAAGAAGTGATTTGCTCTGGGAAGGCAGAAAGAGGAAACTTTACAGCATAAGTGAATTCAGCTGTGTTTGTAATGATTTACTACCAAAAAAATAGATATGATGAAAACTAGCAAATATTCATGTGATAAATCTGGAAGCTAAACATCCAGTACCCATGATACAGTGAAGGACACTTTTTGAGAGGTTTGTGTATCATATTTCCTTTTTAAATTTCATACATCAACCATATATCTGCACCTTTCTCTTCTCTGTTCTCATCAAGTCTCAGCAGGGTCGCCACAAAGCCCCACAGCATCCTGCTGCTTCAACAAGCCTCCATCCGAACTCAAAGCAGATGCTGACCATCCCGTTAGTGGCTTAGAGCATCCTCTCTGCCTCCAGGTGAACTGCAACTCTTCAAGCATTCAACTCCTTTACAGCTGCTACCTTCTAAATTCATTTTCAACCTCATTTTTCTGACTTTTTTTTGCAACTCATCATCTAGTACTATCAATTTGTGGCAATACCACAAATTACACATTCTTTCATGCCTTTAAATATACAAGTCCTTCATCGCGAAACATTCATCATCTCCAACCATTGCTCTCCTCTATCTGGGAGAAAAATACTATCCATACTGGGACAACTAAACAAATGCTTTAGTAGACTCCCACTCCAAATAAAATCTCAGTCTCTCTCTCTCTCTCTCTCTCTCTCTCTCTCTCTCTCTCTCTCTCT